TAGGTTTTCAGAGATCGCCTAAAAGTGAGCAGTGTAGGCGATAGTCTGATAAATTGGGATAGAGAGTAACAGAGGATGGGGGAAGATCTGGAGAAGTCCTGGAGATGAGCATGGGAGGAGGAGACAAGGGAGCTAGAGAGCAGGAGGTCTTGCGAGGAGTGGAGAGAGTTTGGGTGATATTTAGAGACAAGATCGGTGATGTAATTTGGGGCAGAGTTATAAATGGCTTTATACGTTATTGTTAGTGTTTTGAATTTTATCCGTTGGGCAGCGGGAAGCCAGTGGAGGGATTGGCAGAGAGCGATGGCAGATAAAGAACGGTTAGTAAGGTGGATGAGTCTGGCAGCACCATTATGATAGACTGAAGAGGGGATAGCCTGCGATGAGGTATCCCAATGAGGAGGGAGTTACAATAGTCAAGGCGAGATATAACAAGGGAGTGGATAAGTTGCTTAGTGGTTTCCGAGGTTAGGAACGAGCGTATGTTGGAGATGTTGCGGAGGTGAAGTCTACAAGATTTGGACAGTGATTGGATTTGGGGGTGAAAGGACAGATGGGAGTCTAGGATTACACCTAGTACCCTGGCATGAGGGGAGGGACTGATGATTGTGTTATTGATCTTGATGGAGAATTCAGGGGAGGGGGCACGGGCTGGGGGGAATAGTATGAGCTCAGTTTTGGAAAGATTGAGTTTGAGGAGGTGGAGTGACATCCATGCCGATATGTCACTTAGTAGGTTAGCGATGTGAGAGGAGACTGAAGGGGTGAGGTGAGGGGTAGAAAGATAGATTTGTGTGTCATCAGCATAGACATGGTACTTAAAGCCGTGGGAGTTTATCAAGTGACCAAGGGAGGAGGTGTAGATGGAGAAGAGAAGGGGTCCAAGGACAGAACCTTGAGGGATCCCTACAGAAAGAGGGAGTAAAGAGGAGGAGGCAGCTTTATAGGTAACACTGAAGGAGAGCTGCGATAGGTAAGAGGAGAACCAGGAGAGAGCAGAGTCTCTGAGGCCAAGAGAGTGGAGTTTTTTGAGGAGGAGGGGATGGTCAACCGTATCAAAAGCCGCAGAGAGGTCAAGTAGTAAGAGTACAGAGTAGTGGCCATTGGTTTTAGCAGTTAGTAGATCATTAGTGAGTTTTAGTAGGGCAGTTTCAGTGGAGTGTGGTGAGCGAAAGCCAGACTGTAAAGGGTCAAGAAGGTTGTTGTCGGTGAGGTGGGAGCTTAGGCGATTGTAGACTAAGCATTCTAGGAGTTTAGAGGTAAATGGCAGCAGGGAGATCTTAAGTTAAGGTCTTAAGTTGTTCAGGTTGCGAGTGATGTGCACATGCTTTAGAGGGGAGGGGAAGGCACCAGTAGAGAGGGAAAGATTGAAGATGTGAGTGAGGGAGCATAGGATGGAAGAAGAGGGTGACCGTAGTAGTTGTGAGGGGACAGGATCCAGGGGGCAGGTGGTGAGACAGGCTTCTGAGAAAACCTTAGTGACCTCTTCAGTAGTAGCAAGGTCAAAAGAGGAAAGTGTTGAGGGAGGTTTAGTATAAGGTATGCTAAGTGGGATGGATGTCTGTGCAGTGGCGATGCCCCTACGAATTGTGTCAATCTTGTTTTTGAAATGATTTGCAATCTCGTGAGCAGTAAGTGAGGTACTGGATGGGGGTGGAGGTGGAGAAAGTAGAGAGTTAAAAGTAGAGAAGAGACAACGAGGACTGGATGACAAGGTATTAATAAGACTGACAAAGTAGGCTTGTTTGGCAGCATGAAGGGAGGACTTGTATGTTAAGAGAGCAGATTTATATAGGGTGAATGCTTGTTGAGATTTGGATTTACACCACAATCTCTCCAGCGCACAACTATGTCGTTTAATATTTATGGTGTCGTCAGTCTGCCAAGGTTGTAATGGTCGTGGCCTGATGCTTCGTGTTGTTAGAGGAGCAAGTGAGTCTAATGTGGATGAAAGCGAACTGTTATAGACAGCTTTGGCCAGGTCAGGGCAGGACAGGGGAGAGATTCTGTCATAGAGTTGGTCAGTTGCAGAGTGGAAAGGAACAGGGTTCCAGTTGTGAAGGTTTTCTGCGGGTAATTGCTGCTTGGAGGGATAGGTGTTTGAGAACGAGGACACTGTGAAGGTGATGAGATTGTGATCAGAGAGAGGAAAGGGGGTGTTTGTGAGGTTGTAGGGAGTGCAAAGATGGGAGAAAACAAAGTCTAATGTATTCCCATCAGAGTGAGTGGAGGACTGTATACACTGTGCTAATGCAAAAGATGAGGTTAAGTTGAAGAGTTGGGATGTAGCCGGGTTGTTGACATTAATAGAGATGTTAAAATCTCTGAGCATGATAGTGGGTAGTTCAGAGGAGAGAAATTAGGGTAGCCAGGAAGAGAAATCATCAAGAAAGTGGGACACTGGTCCAGGAGGCTGATAGATCACTGCAATCCTCAGAGAAATGGGAGAAAACAGGCAGATGCAGTGAGTCTCGAAAGAAGAGAAGGATAGAGAGGGAGGGTTATGGAGGACTTGAAAGGTGCTGAGTGGGGATAGAAGCAAACCAACTCCACCACCTTTCCGACCACTGGGTCTGGGTGAGTGGATCCAGAGGAGGCCTCCATAGGAAAGTGCTGCGGGAGAAGCAGAATCTGCTGCTTGAAGCCAGGTTTCTGTAATAGCTAGTAGGTTAAGGGAGCGGGTGACAAAAAGGTCATGGACAGAGGTGAGCTAATTACAGACAGAGCGGGTATTCCAGAGCGCACATGAAAAAGGGAGTGTGTTTTTTTGGGAGCACGGGGACCGATATTAAATTGAGGAGATTGCGGCTATTCCCGCAAGAAAGAGGATGCCTGGTGTGGGGGTGAGATAGTGGAGAACCAGGGTTTGGGGAGATATCCCCTGAGGTTAGGAGAAGAAGAAGGGTGAGGAAAGTAAGATGGGAGTGGGATGTACACGAGTGCACATGCCTTCCAGTCCTGGTGTTTGGGTCAGCAGGAGAGTGAAGTATCAGCAGGAGGTGATGAGAACAGTAGTAGGGAGATGGTAGCAGTGAGGGGGAGATGTACAAGTTTTGGGGTGGAGCAGAGGGGTAAAGAAGTGAGATTTTGGGAACGCAGGAAAGTAATATGAAAAGGAGGAGTGGAGGGGACATATTAAAAAGGTACACGGAGTGGGTCTCAGACTGGTAAGAGTTGTTTCCCAGGGTGTTTGCTTGCAGTCTGTTCAGCATGCAGTAGAGTTTCTTGTTGTTGTATCTTCCTGCTTTAGTTAAACTGCTGTGTTTAACTACGTCTTAGCACTCCATCAACTTAGCACTCACGCAAAAGCAGCACCCCATCTGTGACTGCCCCCCATCTGTGTGAATAGCCTTGTACCATGTGACCTCTGTGATCATTCACAAATTTCACTAGTAGTAAGCAATGATGTCAGGAAGTGACATCTTGCTTACTACTATTCATGTGATCACTGATTGGCCAATCAGTGATCACATGATTGGGAGCTCACACAGAGGTCCCATACAGCGATCAGTGTTCTGCTGTGTCAGGCAGGGAAGTGGGGAGGACGTTTACAAATTTTCACCCGCTCCTGCAATGCTCCCGTCTGGCAGTTTATATACATGGGTCGGACGGGAAGTAAAAACAGAACTTCACTCTCTCAATCAACCTGGACTATTTTTAATTCTTATGATGCTAGCACTATTATATGGATAGGAAAGTATATCGTATTTACTTCTTTTAAACTTATTTTTATATTTCTTCAGTTACTTCCTGATTTCCAGGCCTTGGCAAATTATGTCATTCATCCCAGGAATCTTTAGGAGGGGAGGGAGGATTCCCAGCTTAGCCAATGACTAAGTAAAGGGCAGATATATTCCAGGAAGTAAATGCTACATGAATCATCTGCCCTTACTCAAGATGACCACTGCCAGAAATGCCAGGGGGTGATTTTCAAACTGATTTCTCAGCAAAAGAAAGCATTGAGACATGGATGGATGGGGGAGGTTGTTTTTTAAATAATACCAAGGAACTAAATAGCATTTTTGGTTTGTGGTGCTCAAATGCAGTGCTGGTCCACTTATGTTCAACATATCAGTTGACAGTGCTCCATCAATGTTTCTGCAATTTTACTGGAATCCAAGTGTTTTGGCATGTGCTTTTGTGTTATTATTTAGTTGGAAGGGTTAGCTTTCATTGATGAATAATCTCAATGATCAAAAATTCACTTTTCATCATTCAGGTTGTGCTGTCCTACTAATAGTTATGGCTGACAGCTGGTAACATACTGACAAAAGCACTGTAGTGTTTCATTCCAAAATTGAGTTTACTTCTGTGAATAGTTCTGTAAAACTGCAATACAATCACCCGCACAGAGGAATGCGGACCCGCATTAGTTCTAATGGCACGCCGCCCGCACTGGAAAACGCAACCATACTGAGAACCAAGGTTCCCATGCAGGCTGCATTTTCCAAAGAAGTGTAGGGACTTCTTCCCTGCATGTCACGGGCACGGGAGTCCGTTCAAATGAGTAAGTCAGGGACTGATGTGAATGTACATTATATACGTAAAGCACTGTGTAAATTAACACCATATAAGCACCTGTAATAAATAATAGCCCAATAAAAATTTTGAATAGTCATCTTTTATCCAGAGCTGTCTCATAGCAGACTTTTCTCCACCATTATATGTCCTCAGTCTTTCAGTTTAATTAATGATTACCAACATTCAGCCCACTTCCTCTAAGCCCAGGCTGTCATGGACTCACTCCCAACCAGGGGCGGACTGATAACTCATGGGGCTCTCGGGCAATAGGGGATCATGGGGACCCTGTGTCCTTGCCCAAACTCAAAAAAGCCTATGAAAAAGGTACTAGGGGCATCTCATGGGGCCCCCTACTGACCCTGGGCCAAATGGTTTCCAAATGGTCAGTCCGTCCCTGCTCCCAATCTATGCCTGGATGGTTAATGAAAAGCAGCACAATGTCAAGCCTATCACTCTGTCAATCTGCTCTCTTCTCCTATAGCAAGGGTGTCAAACTGGCGGCCCTCCAGCTGTTGCCAAACTACAAGTCCTATGAGGCATTGCAAGCTTGACAGTTACAAGCATGACTTCTAAAGGCAGAGGCATGATGGGACTTGTAGTTTGGCAACAGCTGGAGGGCCGCCTGTTTGACACCCCTGTCCTATCGACATGCTCCTTTTCAGCAATATGAACTGATTGGTACATTTGACGTTTCTTCCTCTTACACTTGAGCTCTGCTGCACAGGGACTGCATGAGTATGATACCAAGTCAAATCCAGGTACTTACATTGCTTGCATTTAATGTAATACAATAAAAGATGTATTAATAATTAATAATGCATTGTTAGTACACGTACATTGGTCAATATACTTAGCATAATCATACTAAAGAATCACTCTGTAGCAGATTTTTGGACCAAAGCACAGTACATAACAACTGTGAAGGTTCTCAATAATCGAGGTCATAGTATACCAAGTAGCAGTGAGTCACATTTTACAACTTGTTTGACTTGTTGAACTTTTTCCTCTTGTACATACTTTTTGACCTTCCTCTGGTACATACTTTTGACCTGAACATCAACTGCTACCCTTCAATTTTCATTGTAAAAATACCTTTTGCAATGCACCTCTGTAATCAGCTTGCGTTGATGCAAAGAATCTGTCAGCTCCGGCATTTAGACTTCTTATCATCTTTGTATAGAGATCCCTGCTTCACTATAATTACCATGGAGTATATAAGATAAAATACTCGAAAATCAGTTGCGGTTAAGGGTTTATTTTTCAAAGAAAAAAAACAAGGCTAGAAGTTTGCGCATTCTTCAGTAGAGCCAACTCAATGTTTCCAGGCTGCTTAGACCTCACCACAGTTAAAGGTCAGGAGATGGGGCTTTTTGCTTAGCAAAAGAAAAACACATCTGTACTCTGTTATCTATAGCAGTCAAATGAGGGCCTGTGTTTTGGGGCTGTATATGATTGTAGAAGTGGACTAATTATCCTGCTTAAAAGGTTCTTTCTTCTCTCCCAGGATATGCAGGGCAGCACATCACAACTTATAGACTCCAGCTGTTGGGCGGATTATATAGTGTCGGGAAAAAGGCTTTTCTCTTCCTATGTGGATATGGTACAATGAAGTCAGTCTTGCCAAAAAGACTTCATGTGAGTGCAAGTCAGTCACAACAAACTTCTCCATTAACAAAGAAACCTCTTGATGGACTTTCACAGCATTGAATGGGTATACCAGCAATACAGTTTTTACAAGGCTGTTTTGACTGGGACTCTTTATCACAGGCATTGGTATGTTCAAAATGCTCATGGCTCACTGCAGGTTTAAAGGGGCTACTATTAGTTACTTAAGTGCACTATATTGGGTGAAGCAACAGGTTCACTGTAATGTGTGGAGCACAAGTTAGACACACTGGGGTTTATTTACTAAAGGTTAGTAGATGATTGGCTATCATGCACAGGTGCATGAGGTTGTAAGTGAACCAGCTTTAGTAAATCCCCCCCACTGATCCTACACTTGCTCCACCATTGACCCTTCCACAATTCCAATGGTAATGTCCCGTACACACTGTAAGAATATTGTACGAAAATTTTAGTAAAATTCTTTTCTTTCTTATGAGAATTTTTGGAAGTTTAGTACCCTCTTCATTTTTGATATGGAGACCAACATGCAAAAAAAAAAAAAAAAGAGATCATTCATCCAACATTCTTATCATGTAAATGGGTCATTAGTGTCCTATGGCAACTTTATGTGCCTAGATGTGAGAGTGCACAGTGAAGCTCTTCTGTCTGTTTTCAGACTCTTTTCCTGCCAGAAGTCCCTCCATGGTCACACACAGGTAGCCCCAACAATACTTTGTCTACTGATGTTAGATGCCTTTAAAACTATTCATAATTAGCTACGAGCGAATTGGCAAAGTTCCAGGTCTCATGCAACCACAAAGTCAATCTGAATTTCCTAGTTTTGTGTTTGTTTTTTTTATGTTTCAGTTAATTATAAAAGACTTTCATTGGCTGGCAAAAATTGTGTGACCAAGTCTGTAAGAGGTGTTTGATCAGTCATTGTTCATGATAATAGAAGCACTTTTGTTTGAGAGAAATTTAACAATACATGACATCACTTTCGAAATTCTTTTCTTTCATAGGAGAATTTTTGTATCTTTAATAACCTTTTCACTTTCGATGTGAGACTAGCAGCCGAAAAAAAACGGGCGATCGTTCGTCGTCTGATATTCTCATCGTGTGTACGAGGCTTTAGTTTCAACTTTCTAAGTCAAAACCTACAAGGGCTATGCACCACGCATTCTCTGTCTCCACATTATAGTGATGTGGTCTGCCATCTGGCTACCTAGGCAGTAAGTGCTGCATTTGGGGAGGCTGGAAGAATATCATGTCTTCTCCAATAATTAAGAGCATAAAACTAGCGATAAGCAGGTGAGCAAGTGGGAAAAAAAAATATATATATATACACCGTATTTTGCGCTCCATAAGACGCACCTAACCATAAGACGCACCTATGTTTTAGAGGTGAAAAACAAGAAAAAAAAATATTCTGAACCAATGGACTGCGGACACAGTACAGGAGATGACCAGAGACTGCAGACACAGTACAGGAGATGACCAGACACTGCGGACATAGTACAGGAATGACCAGAGACTGCGGACATAGTACAGGGAATGACCAGAGACTGCGGACACAGTACAGGGAGATGACCAGAGACTGCGGACACAGTACAGGAGATGACCAGAGACTACGGACACAGTACAGGAGATGACCAGAGACTGTGGACACAGTACAGGAGATGACCAGAGACTGCGGACACAGTACAGGAGATGACCAGAGACTGCGGACACAGTACAGGAGATGACCAGAGACTGCGGACACAGTACAGGAATGACCAGAGACTGCGGACACAGTACAGGAGATGACCAGAGACTGCGGACACAGTACAGGAGATGACCAGAGACTGCGGACACAGTACAGGAGATGACCAGAGACTGCGGACACAGTACAGGAGATGACCAGAGACTGTGGACACAGTACAGGAGATGACCAGCGACTGCTTACACAGTACAGGGATGACCAGAGACTGCGGACACAGTACAGGAGATGACCAGAGACTGCGGACACAGTACAGGGGATGACCAGAGACTGCGGACACAGTACAGGGGATGACCAGAGACTGCGGACACAGTACAGGGGATGACCAGAGACTGCGGACACAGTACAGGGGAATGACCAGAGACTGCGGACATAGTACAGGAGATGACCAGAGACTGCGGACACAGTACAGGAGATGACCAGGGACTGCGGACATAGTACAGGGAATGACCAGATACAGCGGACATAGTACAGATGACCAAAGACTATGAACATAGTACAGGGAAAATGCCAGGGACTGCGGACATAGTACAGATGACCAGAGATTGCAGACAGTACAGGGGATGACCAAAAGACTGCGGACCTTTGGCTTCTGTGACAGCCGGGTGCCCACTGCGCATGTGCGAGAAGCGCTGCGCTTTGCGAATGGCCAGGCACCTTCTGGAACCTGTCATTCACAAAGTGCAGCGCTTCTCGTGCATGCGCAGTGGGCACCCGGCTGTCACAGAAGCCGGTGCGGGAAGAAGCTGGCGCGGGAAGACTGTACAGCGCTGGACCGAGTAACAGGTAAGGTCCTGCAGGAGAGAAGAGCTGAGCGGCCGGCCCGGTATTCTGACATGGTGGCGGCGGCGGGAAATACCAGACCGGCCGCTCCATATTCGCTCCATAAGACGCACTGACATTGGGGGAAAAAAGTACGTCATATGGAGCGAAAAATATGGTATATATATATATATCACGGGTATTGCATATTCAGACCCCCCTTCACTTTTTTTTTATTTTGTTATGTTGCAGCCTGATACTAAAGTTGTTTTAATTATTTTTTTTCTCATTAATCTGCACTCAATATCCCATAATGTCAAAGCAAAAGCAGAATTTTAGAAATGTCTCTGAATTTATTAAAAATAAAAATCTGAAATATCACATTGGCATAAGTATTGAGACCCTTTGCCACAACACTTGAAATTTTGCTCAGACACCTTCCATTTCTCTTCTAGAGATGTTTCTGCGTCTTGATTGGAGACCACTTGTGGTAAATTAAATTGATTGGACATTATTTGGAAAGGAACACATCTCTCTCACAGCTGACAATGCATACTGTATCAGAGCAAAAGCCATGAGGTCAAATGAACTGCCTGCAGAGCTTAAAGATAGAATTATTGCAAGGCACAGGTGTGGAGAAGACTACAAAAAACATCTGCTGCACTGAAGGTTCCCAAGAGCACAGTGGCCTCCCTAATTCTCAAATGGAAGATGTTTGGCACAACCAGGACTCCTCCTGCCCAGCCAAACTAAGCAATCAGGGGGAGAAGAACCTTAGTAAGAGAGGTGACCAAGAACCCAATGGTCACTCTAATCGAGCTCCAGAGATCCTGTGTGGAAATGGGACAAAGTTCTAGAAGAACAACCATCACTGCAGCCCTGCAACAATCTGGGCTTTATGGCAGAGTAGCTAGACGGAAGCCTCTCCTCAGTGCAAATGAAAGCCCACATGGAGTTTGCAAAAAAGCTACTAACTTACAGATGGTTCAGGCCCAGACATTATACTGTTGCATTGTATTGCAAGGCGTGCTTCAAGGTATATATGTGTAGCACTACCGCGTCACTGAGTTTTGGGTCCCCCTAAAGCTCTGCACAGCCAAACAATACGCATTTTCCACACTTTGCACACTGGAGTCAGTAAACAGTCCTTGAGCTTAGTTTTGTAATTTTACTAAGGGGTTGATAACTTGGATGGGATTGAGGGATGTATGGGATGCCTAAGGGAACTGTGAACTTGAGAACAAACTCTGTACAACTCTGTAGCAACTATGTACAAGATTGTGGACAAAAATAGTCACTCCTTTAAGAGCATTCCAGCTCTCTGATATACTTCCTCAGATTCCAGATGAATCCTCCTCTTCACCCAGCTGTCCTGATGGTATACCCTGGGCAAGGGGACCCAAAAGCCGCCAATTTAGAACAGCAGTCCCAGATGAGAAGCTAGTTGGATTTTTCACCTGACCGCCTTCTCCCCTTGTCCGGCCCTGGGGGTGTAAGAGTGCTCATGCTGTCTTTTCCTGTCAAC